AAAAAAATATTTAATTTATTGAATGGTGGGAAGAGCTAAAATAAAGAAAAAAAAAAGATAAAATATACATGCAAAAAAAGTATAATTAAAAAAATACATTTAATTTATTGAAGGGTTGGAAGAGCTAAAACATACAAAAACGCTTTAGGTGGGTTTTGAACCTATGACACCTCATTATTACCATTACCATATTATATTACCATATTATATTACCATATTAATAATTAATAATATTAATTAAAGACTCAACCAACTAAGCCATTGATCACTCTTGTAACTAACACATGTACATATATATATATTAGTAGAAAGGGTTGGGGGGGGGGGGGTGGGGGAGGGCAACTGACCCTACTGCTCCCATTGTGGACTTTCATAGCCATTGATCACTAACATACATGTTCATTTTTAGGGGGTGTATCAATATGACTTTCATAGACTTTTAAAGATTTTTATGAACTTTAAAAGTTTGGAGGTATTTAATTCAAACTTTTAGGGAGTCTTTAAAAGTCAAGCCGTATTATATTCAATCAAGATGTTTAGAAAGTCTTTAAAAGTCGGGTGATATTTGATTAAGACTTTTAAATAGTCTTTATAAGTCATGCGGTATTCAAAAAGTTATGAATTTTTGTACTTTTCAATTTTAAGACTTTTGTAGATTTTTCTTTCTCAAATATAAATAGTTAAAATCCAACCATTAATCCCAATATTTCAAAATTTTCTTTTTACCGACTCTGAATATTTTCTCTCTCTATTTAAACTCTATTTTTCTCCTATTTAAATTTTACAAACTTTATACCTAAATTCAATAAATTATAAGAGTAGTCGTTGATTCAATTAATCAAGTATTTCCACATTATTGTGGGCAAGTATTACAATAGTATTAAAATTACCGTAAATCAATTAGCATTGAATTGCCCTTTTCCAGGGTTGACATAACAAAGAAAACATTCTATGTTTTCTATGTCCCAACAAAAGATTAATTCGAGGAAAAAATAACATTTTTAATTATTAAAATATAGTAAGAAAATTATAAATGATAAGAATAAAAATCATTGAAAGTTTGTAAGGATGTATTTAATTTATAATTTCAATGATTTTTGTAGATTTTTTAAAAATAAAAATGTTGATAAAAGTTTATGAATGTTTTTTATATAGATTTTTATAGAGTCTTACACAGTATTTTAAAAAATTTTGAATGACTCTATGAAAGTCAATCAAGGTTTATTAAAATTTATCATTTTAAAAGTCTTTAAAAATATACAAAAATCATAATTGAATACACCTTGTATGTTAAAATTTTATTTTTAATAAATTTATTTTAATATATTATTTAAAAATAATAAATATTTAATACATTAAAAATAAACTTCATCAATATAATAAATATGAACATTATATTTATCAACTTTCCACCTTGCAACAAGTGGACCATAATACATAGTATAATTCGCGAAATGCATTATGAAATTGTTATTTGGGATTGGGCCCCACACGGATTATTATGACAATAACTAGGGACTTGGCGCTATGAAGTATGAACAGAGAATTTTAAGTCTTCACATGAAACTTGTTTTCCCTTTTTGGATTAATATAATTTATATATCAGTAAATTCTCCATTTTTTTCTTAATTTGTAAGAAAATATATTCATATATTACTTTTTTTTTTTAAAGCCATCGTAATTGCTAGCTACTTAAAGGTACTAAGTTTCAAAACATTAACTCAAAAAAGGTAAAATTAATAATTAAGTAGTGATACATTATTAAAGTATCGTAAGATAACGTACATTTTACCGCGTTGTATATGTCATAATAAGCATGATAATTTACATGTTCATAAAACATGACCCAACATACAATTAATTATGCACTTGAAAGATTCGTGATGCCACACACATAAAATATTTCAAATAAAATCTAATCCAATTTCTTCTAAAAAATAATGAATTTAATTTTTTATTAAAAATAAAAAATTTAACTTTAGTTTTTTTTTAAATAAAAATATTGGCACTTTGATTGAATACATATAAGCAACTTGAATTTGATGTTGATATTGAAAAATGATATTTGTGTTTAATTGAGTTAAAAAAAATAAAAAATATATAAAAATATAAAATAAAATAAAATAAAAAAGTTTCTTATTAGCACAAAATTGTGTGAGATTCATAAAATATCTTTTTGTGAAAATGTATTTTTTTTTTTTTTGAATAAGTCTTGTATAAGATTATCTCAGGCAAAATATGTACTATTATTGAATATATCTTACATTTATTTTTGCAATCCAATAAAATTTTGAAGATAAGCACAACCAATAGCTATCTAAGAACTGTTTTGAACCACCCAAAAAAAAAAAAAAAAAAAAAGCTATCTAAGAACTAAATCATTTTTTGAAGCAACTAATTTTTTTTTTTAACTTTAAAAGATATAAATATATAAAGCCAACAACAATTAAATAACTTATTATTTATTAATCATTATCAAAATTGTAAATTACTTAATTTTTAAAAAAGATTGTATATTATCAAATAACAACAATGTTATATTCTTTTATCTTCAAAAAAAAAAATCAATGTTATATTCTTTCTTTTTTTTTGTAAACCATGAACTATTATGAGCCTTTCGCCGTCCGTTTTACGGTGCGTCAATGTTAACTAAGATGCGCGAAGTTTATACTTAATGTGCGTCATTTTAGTGCTTAAGATGCGTCCAAACGCACAACCGTACGGGAAGCCATTCCTAATAATTACATTTGTAAGAAAATATATTCATATATTACTTTTTTTTTAAGCCATCATGGTTGCTAGCTCCTTAAAGGTACTAAATTTCAAAACATTAACTCAAAAAAGGTTAAATTAATAATTAAGTGGTAATACATTATTAAAGTATCGTAAGATAACTTACATTTTATCGTGTTGTATATATCATAATAAGCAATAAGCATGATAAGTTACATGCTCATAAAATATGACCCAACAATTAATTATGCACTTGAAAGATTCGTGATGCCACACACATAAAATATTTCAAATAAAATCTAATCCAATTTTTTCTAAAAAAATAATGAATTTAAATTTTTATTAAAAAAAAAAAAAGTTAACTTTAGTTTTTTTTTTTTTAATAAAAATATTGGCACTTTGATTGAATACAGATAAGCAACTTGAATTTGATGTTGATATTGAAAAATGATATTTGTGTTTAATTGAGTATAAAAAAAGGTTTCTTATTAGCACAAAAATTGTGTGAGATTCATAATGGCCCTGTTTGATAAATGGTTGTTAGCTGTTAACTGATTGGGTTAATTAGAGGGTATAACTAGTTAATAACATTAGCTGATTGTAGAAAAGTGTTTGGTAAATTAGCTAATAGTTGTTTGGTATAATTTTTTTTTAAAAAAAAATTAATTGAAAAAGTTGCTTTGAGCAGCTTTTTAAATTTTAGCATTTTGGAGTTTCAAAAAGCTAATTAACCAAACAGTTATATTGATTTTTAACCAAATCAAAGAACTAATAGTGGTCATTACAAAAAAAAAAAAAGAACTAATAGTGGTCAAAGAATTGTCACTTGTAAGAATCTATCGAACTTTAGTTATCCCTAGAATCGTCCCCACGAAGACAATGTTATATTCTTATTAAATAACATAACATTTTTTTTAATCGAAGTATAAAATTTGACAATATATAAATGTTTTTTTGTTAATCTTTTTGTTTTACTACACATTATACATTAATTAACAAAGTAATGAACTTTTGAGCATTAATTCAAGTGAGATAAAAATTACTAAAAAGAAAAAACTAATTAACAATTAAGCAAGTAGTAAGAGCTTAATTACTAAGATATCATATCGCTGGGATAAACGTTGTTTTACAACGGAATGTAATGATGCAGACTACAGTAAACATGACAAATAATGTGCTCATAAAACATGATTTAACCCATTATACTAATAAGATTCATGCTGTCACACACTCATAAAAGAACTATCTAAATAAAATTTAAATCCAATTTATTATTCACTCTATAAAAAATAAAATGCAGTAACATAATTTAACTTTTGACTAAAACTATCAAAGTTTAAAATAATTTTACTATTGATCCCTTAACTTTTCTTAATCTATCCAATTCAGCGCAAACATCTTAAATGCCATCATCTAAAAGGGGTAAAATTTAGTAACAACTGAGACATTTTAGATATTTTTGATTTGATGCCTATTTGGTAAAATAGTTAGGTTATCAGTTAATTTGGCAACTATTAGCTTTTTAACTTGGTTAAAAAATCAATATATATATATTTAAGTGTTTGGTTAATCAGTTTTTTGTAACTTCAGAATCCTAAAATTCAAAAAGCTGCTCAAAACAACTTTTTCAATTAACTTTAAAAAAAAAATTATATCAAACAGCTAACAACTAATTTACCAAACACTTTTTACAATCAGCTACTGTTATCAACTAGTTATACCCTCTAACCCAAATAGCTAACAGCTATTTACCAAATATAGCTTTTGTCTCGATCAAGGATCAAATGTGATATTAATATTTTTAAAACCTTGGCATTTTAATGGTTGAAGTAAATAGTATCTAAGTAATTTATTCATATTTAATTCTATCCACAATAAAGCTAGCGAAACTCAGAATTTGATATATTGAGTTGTTTGATAACCGCAAGACTTCAAGTTGTATTCTTCACTTAGAAGGAACGCACTTTAAAAATATGAGTGCCAACTTTTCTATAAATAAAAAATTAATGGTATTCACCCCTAACTCCTGACATGACATTATTTGATTGGATACATTAATCTTTTTCTAAAAAAAAATTGTTGGCCAGTCAATTTATAGCATCCAATGATTATACGGAAAAATTAGGAGCGGTAAAATGTTTTTTTCATTAAAAAAAAGTGAAAATATATGTATATTGCTGCATGTCGGTAGAAACTAAAAACTAGAAATAATGAAATGGCAGCAACATGTAACGTTCGAAGTTTAAGGTATGACGCTGCCTATAAAGCCATATGATGTTTGAGCACAAAACTACAAAACGCCATTGCTCTCTCTTTTTTCCCTGGCTTTCTGATCTGTTCCCGGCCGGCCTTTCCAAATCCTTAATTGTTGTGACAACAGCACAGCAAATTGAAGGGAAACAGGTAGAGATCGAATCCTTGGAAATAAAGAAACCAAGGGAAAAAAATGGTGTCAAGAGTGGATGGCATGGTGTGGATGGACAGGAAAGAGGGAGACGATGATGAACAAGGCGCGGGTTCTTGGGCACAAAACAACAACAACTCCATAAATGGGGGATTGGAGGGCCCGGGGAAAGGAGGAGGAATGGAAATGAGTGGGGTGGCTATGTTCAAGTCGTTGCTGGAAGGAGAAGATGTGGGGTGGTACATGCCCAGCCACCATAGCCTCGCCGCCATGCAAAGCCACGGCGACATTATTTCTTTCGGCGAAGCTGATCATCATCAGAGCAACGCCGGCGGCCTGTTCTTGCACCCAGTGGAGTCAACCTCTTCCTGTTCTCCATCTTCTGCTCCGACAACAGCCTTGAACAGCCTCGAGTCTCAGTCTCAGTCTCAGGTACACTATTTCTTGGCTCCCAAAACCAACAATAGCATGATGATGATGAATAATCCGTTGGAAAGTGGTGGGTTTGAGTTGGGGTGTGAAAATGGGTTTCTCCAAAATCATGGTTTGAGCAGAGGGACAGGAGGGATTTTGGGTGGTGGGTTTGGTGAATTTAGCTCAGATGAGAATCCCAATTTGCTGCAAAGTGGTGGTGGTGGTGGTCCATTAGGGTTTGGAGAGGCCTTCAATGACAATAATAATAATAATAATGTTTTGTTCCTTAATAATCTGAATAGGTCTAAACTGTTAAAACCACTTGATAATTTTGGGTCAATTGGTGCACAACCCACTCTGTTTCAAAAGAGGGCTGCTCTGAGGAAGAATAATAATTTGGAGGTTGTGGGTAGTTGTAGTGGTGGAATTAGGTGCAATGGGGATGTTGATAAGAAGGTGGAAGTTGATTTGAAGAGGAAGGAAAACAATGGTGATGAAGTGAGGAAATTAGACACCATCAGGTCCTCCAACTTCAACTATGATGATTCAGATGAGCTGCTGCTGCTGAATAATTGTAATGACGACGATGAGAGCGTTAAGACTGGTGGTGGAGATGAGAAAGGGAAGAAGAAGCAGGCTGGTGGGGGGCTTCCTGCTAAGAATCTCATGGCGGAAAGGCGCCGCCGCAAGAAGCTCAATGATAGGCTTTACATGCTCAGGTCTGTTGTCCCCAAGATTAGCAAGGTAACAAACTTTCTTTCTTTTAATTATATTATATTATATTTGCACCGTACCAAATCTTCCCATCCCTTTTATTATATATATATATTGCTTGCACCATATCATATCATATCATATTACTATATATGAATTTGTATACATACATGTTTTAGCACCTTCAATTCCCGCCCTTTGATTCCTTTGCAATTTTGTGTAGTGTTTTAGTTATTGTTCAAAATGGTGTGTTTATGATAGCATTAAATAGAGTCACGAGGAGTGTATGAAGTATTTTTGAAATGCATCTTAAATTTTGGAGCATGGGCAGATATTAATTTGAAAGCTACTAGAGTAAAACCACATCTCTCTCTATGAATTCAATTTATCCATTTATTGCGGATCGGAGTAATTATTGAGCACAATTTTTATTTATTTTTTTTCTTGTACTACTTGTTATGGAGTGAGTAGTTGAGCTCATTATTCTGATTTGCCCTTTTGCACGGTATGGAGTGAGAATTGAATCTGGAATCTGGAATCTGGAGTTGGTACAAAAATAGGTAGCAGATGAGAGAGAGTGTTTAGTAAAGGAAAGGAAAGGGAAGGGTGTTTGAATTGATGTGGATTATTATATGTGCAGATGGACAGGGCTTCAATCTTGGGGGATGCGATTGAATACTTGAAGGAGCTTGTGCAGAAGATCAATGACCTCCAAAATGAACTCGACTCTCCCACCACTCCCTTCTACCCTTTGACACCAACTACTGCTACTGCTACTGCTGCGTCTTCCCTAACCTCCCGCATCAAACAAGAAATCTCTCCAAGCCCGCTGCCTAGTCCAACTCCACAACCCCCCGCAAGAGTAATGCTACCTATCTCTTCATTTCAAGTCACCTTCATTTCAAGTTTAGAAAATATAATATTGGTTGCATTATTATATTGTAGGTTGAAGTGAGGGTAAAAGAAGGAAGAGCTGTGAACATCCATATGTTTTGCAGCCGTAAGCCTGGCCTCTTACTCTCAACAATCAGGGCTCTCGATAACCTTGGCCTGGATGTCCAACAGGCTGTTATCAGCTGCTTCAATGGCTTTGCCATGGATATCTTCCGAGCAGAGGTATCATTTCTTTTTCCCCCAACAATAAACCACACCCAAGCTAGCTGCAACAAACTTATTATTCTACATCTCATTTTGTTTTTTTTCGACTCACCAACTTTAGAATACTTCACTGGAATGAATAACTATACATGAAACCTAGTTTAGATTTATCCTTCTAAGTTTGATTCAATCATAAAGGAATGAGAATTGACCCGAATTCATTTCTGTATATTATATAATATGAGCAGCAATACAAGGAAGGTGATATCCATCCCGATCGAATCAGAGCTATACTTCTGGATTCTGCTGGCTTCCAGGGGATGATCTAAGCTGCTCAACTTGTTGTTCAATGCCTGATGTTTATCCAAGTCAAGTCGACAGACAGTTTTCTGCTCTTCCTGATTGGCAGCCAATGCCAATATTTATCTATCTGCACCAACAAATCAGATATACATGATCTACTTTACCATTTCCCTTCCCCTAGGCATGCCCTAGTTCATCTTCGCTGCTTAGCTTCAAGCATTTTCTTCATTTGTAAGAAACAAGTAATTGTTTTGCAGACTCTGAGTGTTGATTTCTAATTCTATGTTGTTTACATTCTGAGTTAATTAGAACACCTTTTGCTGCTGTTGTATTTTCAATCTGAAGAAGCAATCCATTAAGGACAAATTAAAGAAAAAAACCATTCAACCTGAATCACATGTGGTGTTGAGATTTGCAATTTGCAATAGTTAGCCATCTTGCTTGCATGTTGCATCCTCCTACCCACAATACTTCACAGGGGAAGACAATAATGCATTCATCCATAACTATATACATTAACTTCCAAAGTATCAACACATAATCAATCATCATTCATCATCAATTCAATATAAGCCCAAGAATTAACTACTACTTGCCTACATTCAAGCTGAAAGAACAGGCGCATTTCATCTATGTACAAAGTGGAAATTTCAAGCAAGGTTATGCCTAGTGGATAATATATATATAGATATGTGCATATACTATGTATATAAATAGTGCACCATATGTCGGCTCCAAGAAAGGGGTCCAAAATTGCAAGTTATAGAATACGTGCTGTTCTGTGCTATATATTGAGAGAGACCCCCTGCCACCTGAAGTTAAAAGGGACCTCTCATATGCATCTTACGACATTCAAGTATCCCAAAAAAAATCAACAGCTGTATGGACAATGGTCTTCTCCCTGCTTCAAATAACCTGTGCCCATTAACAAAGTCACTCAGTTTCTGTAGACAACCTCATCTTTCACTTTCTGTTTAAATCATATATTCATTCTCTTAAACACTTGGCAAGGGGAACATTAAAAAACACATGACATAAACTAATCATATTCTTCTTATACTTTACCTATAATTTGGCTATAAATATATATAGCTTCAAGGAAAAGTTAACATTCCTCAGCACTGGATGCTGAAGGAATCTGTGAAATCTTCTTCACTTCTCCAGTGTCCAATCCTTCTGCAACTGATGATGTATCCTCGTCTTTTGAATTCAGAGTCCCTGGGTTCATCCGTTGTACCTCTTCCTTCGTGTAGATGTAGATTTTGCGAACCATTCCGCAGAATTCTCTGTTCCAACACAACAAATGAGATTAAAATGAAGAAACAACAAAGGGGAAGTAAGTTGTCTTTCTTAGTTTCTGTACTTAGGAATACAGAAAGAAGTTCTTACTGCCATGGATCATCCCCCACGAGCATCATATCACCCTCATCATCAGTGTATACAACCATCCAATTCTTATTCATTGCCTTAAGTTCACCATTAAAATCAAACAGCTTGTCCAGTTCAGCAAGCAATTCATCATAATTGTTGAACTTGGTAAGATCCACAGACCTACCAAGTGCAGTGCCCTGCTTATGAACCTGTACTCAGAAGATACATTTTTCAATACATCATTTTAAGTTCAATGAAATATCAATAGGAAAAACATGCAAGAAAATCATTTTAGAACCTTGGTGCAACTCCTTGTTGAGCCACTATGAACTTTTCTCTCCCTATCTTTATCAGCAGGTTGAATATGAAATATTTTTTCCTCCTCATTGCCAGTTACCCCATCGTCTACCACTTTAGAGCCATTTGATTGCTCCAACCTTTGATCAGATTCAACCACATGGGAGTGATGAGATTGTATACCAATATGCAGGTGACCTGACTCAATTGTGGTATTTTTGTGTAAAATTTCAGTATCAGTGGTAGCAGAGTTGCTTATGAGGGGTATCCCAAAGAGTTTGCAGTTTCCCTCTTTTGGTTTCATAGCAGCCTCATGCTGTTGCATCAGCATTGGGTTGAGCATTCTCTCTCGTGCATGAGCAGGCATTTGCAGGTACGGTACTGGTTGACGCCCCAACCAGTTCCCTTGCTGATTCTCAACATTATGACCAGGTGGCATGGAACACTCTATGTGACCACCATACCTGGAGTCTCCCCTAGGTTGATAAGGAGCTTCAGAACCCTGACCATGTGATTTAATGCCCGAATCCATCAAATTAAGCGATAGACCAGAAGGTACAATAGACCATGGCTTTCCTAGTAAGCTCCCTTCCTGATATTGTTTTTGTCGCTTTGTCAAACTAACAGTAGCTGATGTTTGATCCCGGGGTTGTAAAGAGAAGCCACAGGAAGAATTCATTTGTGTCCCAAAACCTGATAATAGATCTGTAAACGATGGTTCGGGTCTCCCTAAAGGCAGCCATTTATCTGAACCACATCTACGTGACTCAGAAAGAACATCAATCTTTTCATCCTCCAAAGATGGTGGCCATACCATTGGCTTTTCAGAGGAATTCGACTCATTACTCTCTGCAAAGGTGCCCCTCAAAGTCGATAATTCCTGACTGTGCAAGACCCTTGAGAACCCACTGGCAGGTGAAGGGTCTGCACATAGTTTAGATGAACCTATAGTAAATCACAGTACATGAAACTCAATTAATCAAGAGCCAAAAGGGAGGAGATGTCAAAAAATGGTTGTGCACAGAAGAGCAAACTACCTTCTCTTGTTAGAACAGATGAATCAGGAGAAGAAGGCAGGTTATTTGATCGAGGCCTTTTTGGCCTTGGGACAGGAAGGGGATTGAGAGCAGGGGGAGTAAGAGCTGGCTCTATATTCCAAGGTGAGACTCGGTCTGGCCTAGGAACAGAAGAAGTTTCATCCCAACGCACCTTAAAGTTAAGGCACAGAATACACTTTGTTTAGAATAAAAATAAAAGGCACAAGCAACAATACACCAAAAGATGTGACATATTATTACCTTGAGACATCTCCATTTTGATTCTGGCCACCTCTGTGGATCACCATCTTCAATACCAACAATAGTACCAGTAAACCTACAAGATTACCCACACATAACACAAAAAGTTAATTATTAGTCTAGAATTCAAAGAAAGAAGAAACCTCCGACCAGCAATAGTCCTAAAATTACACATACCTCTGCTCTGGAGCTTCTTCTCCTTCAAACCTCATTTTAAACCTCATCCCTATAGTGTAGTTGCTTTTTTCAGACTCCATATACTGGTCATATGGAATAATAAATTCAGCAGGACTCGTCCTGTCATACACACACAATTCATAAATGAACACACTAGTTAGTAACCATGGTTCATGCAACTGCAGAAACAAGAAATAGAATCTTCTATCACATACCTAGGTTTGTAATATACTGTAAAGATGGTTTTAGTCTGAATGGCATGCCATGCCGTTGCAAGTACACCAAGATGCATGCTATGACTGGATATAACAGAAGATGGTGCATTGCCCTGATGTCTCATGGCACGTCTAACCCCAACACGAAGATCCCCATTCTCACCTCTGAAAATAGAAAATGTTAATAGTATTAGATGCCTGGTCTATGAAAGCAACAGGAAAAAATATAAAATCATTAAAAAAAAAAAAAAAAAAAAGGTCACTAACCGTAAAAATATGAAAGCATCCCCAGCAACAAGCCTTTTCGAACTAACAAACACACTCCAACCGCTTTGAAGGAGATGCCTCCGTGGTTGGCCTGAATTAAGTTGGCAGCTTAAGTTTTAAAAAGGCAAGTAGAGAACTAACCAGGTTGCAAGTGACAGCCAAAAATAGCTTTTAGTATATATACTACATAGTACTCTGTATATAGACGAACATAAGAAATCTGTTCAATGATACTCCATACTTAGCATTTAATGTGATCCTGGTATCTTGTGAACCAACTTGATAAGAATTTCTATTTCCATATTTACACTAGTAGCAGTTGTGTTTGCACCGGACTGAATTAATTGAATGGATGATAAATGTTTGATGTGAATCATACTTAGTCCATATATCATACAATCAGGCAAGATATTATTAAGAACATAAGGGGAATTATACCCCGAAATATATGTCTGAAGCGCCACTCGTTTCCATGCAAATCCTTGGCCACCAACTCCTGGGTTGGAGGCTGCCGGGACATGTCCTATAACAAACCAAAGATTGAGTAGCAGCTTAAGTCACTGACATCTGAGAGAGATATAAAGATACCGAGATTGTAAAATAAAGAAATCCTTCTAACCAGTGGGGGGAGACATTCATCAGCATGTCGCCTCAGCACAGAAAATCCACCATGGGTGCTAGTATCTGAGGCTGTAAGTGTCTTACAGAAAGAGTGCACATGAAAGCGTGGTGGAGGAGGGGGCATGTTTTCCTTCTTCACTGCATTCTCATCATGCTGCCATTAAATCACACCAATTACAACATAACCATACAAATATCACATATTGACACAGCTGCCTTCAACAATGAGTGAACTTACATCTGGTACTGGCATCAGAGTTACTTGAGCATAAACCTCATCTGTATCTGGCTCAGCCTGAACATTCACAAAAACATGAATTTTTCATAGGACACACTAATTAAAAGGTACTGGGTTTAATAGCACAGCACAACAAACTAGAATTTTACAAAATTAAACAATAATTATAAATGCCCTTAGGATAAAACCAATAGATCAGTATTGACTAACAATTACCTTCAAGTGGACATTAACCACGCGACAGAGGATCTTCGAAGGAAGATGATACATAGGCATCTGCTGATCTGCTACTTGATTTGTTGATGCCTCAACCTACCAAACAAACCCATTAAATTCACAAAAACCAAATCTCAAAATATTGCTCAAAAGTAACAACAGAAAAAGAGTAATAAACACAAAAACTAGAGATAAAATGCAAAAACCAAAAGTGAAATAAGAGAGATTATGAGGAGAACTAGAAGAAGATGTAAAGAACCTGAGCTCGTTTAAACGCTTTACACAGTTGTAAAACAAACCTGTTCAATATGACCTTGCGGGAAATAGTAAACCAGTTCCCCCTCTCGTGGCACGGTGACCAGCGGCCCGGCACAAGCCCGCCATAGCTCCGTGTACAACGCCGCTTCAGAATCCACTAAACCCCCCAAAAGAAAAGAGTCAATTGAGTTCACAACTAAAATCAACATAAACATCAAAACAATAAACAAACAAACAAACAAAACAGAAGGCGCTAGATTTACCTTTTCCGGCGCAGGAGACGCCGCGAGCTCCGACATCATTCTGCTCAGCGTAACCTTTGATTGAGACCTCCGAAGTAGTCATTTCCGAACAGAACACACACAAATACACTTTATCAGACTACAACAGATCTCTCATCCTCCAAACGCAGCTTCTCCAGAACCGATTCTCAGCCGGAGAAAGGCCAGAATCACTTCAATCAAACGGAAAATCAAGATTCAACCACTTTCTCACTCTACTCTCTCTCTCTCTCTCTCTCTCTCTCTCTCTCTCTACATCAACGATTTTCTGTGTCTCCCACAGGATGGGCTTTGTACTTTTGTAGCGTTAGGACCAGGGGAGAAGAAAAGAGAGACCCTTTCAATACTCAGAGGGGTCAAAACGGTAAAAACACAACAAAAATATTTTCAACCGCGGTAAGATTCTAACCCCGTTTGGCAACGGGGAGTAGCCGGTAGGAATTTCCGGCGACCGGGAGTAGCCAGTGGAGAAGAAGGCGCTGGGGGGGACAAGCGGACAACTAATAAAGGCGGGGAATTAGAGCGTCAGGAGACGGGCGTTAGGCGCTGCCGTGAAGCCATTGGGTTAGCATCTTACGCCGTTTGTCTACGACGTTAAGCGTAAAGCTGTTGTGGCTTTTACGGGGAAGTGGGCCTGTCTTGCTAATTACGGGCAGGGCAGGATGGGGTTTGGGGTTGGTCCCATTCTTCCTTTTAACCATGGTTAAGTTTAGACTACGATCATTGGTTACCCAACAACCTGGTAAACATCTCTCATTTCCTACAATCATACCGTACGCTACAATGGCATCCACAAAATTTGATAAATAAAATGAAATTTTATGATATTATAGAAATTTGATAGATATCAATATCATACGTAAGAATATAACATTTTTAAACTGAAAAAATAATAAGAGTATATATGTAATTAAAAAAAATTGTGTGTATAATTCTACATTTATTATCTCTTTCAAAAAATAGGACATTCATATATAGTACATTGTATCGTTTAGTTTACACGCGTGAGCGCGCACACACAAACATTTATTTATTTATATATTTTGTTAGTTTTACTGCTTATGGACAACCGATTGACAGGCCAACAATACCGTAAAATATAAGTAAAAGAGATAATATATGAGAGAAAAATAAGACAGAGTGATGGTGCTTGTATTAAATTTCGAATTCCTTACAATGTGACTACATGAGAGCATTTATACAAGGACTATGGCCTTGAAGAATGCAAGAAGTGAGAAATTAACTAAAATAAACTTAAGAAAGCTTCTAAAACTGCTAAGGTACCATCTTAATGTGCAGGGCAGGTTTTTAGATTTTTGAAGCCCTGTTCAGGTAAATAAATGAGGCTCTACCAAAATCAAAATCTTTAAAACTAATACAGTAATTTTTTCTAATAATAATAAGGTGGTAAAATGTTACTGTGCGCAAAGAAAAAACCAAAAGACATTATGGAATAAATTACAATAATAATAATAATAATAGTATTATGGAATAAATAATAATAATAATAATAATAATAATAATAATAATAATAATAATAATAGTGTGCGCAAACTAGCAATGCAAAAGGATTAAAAAAAATAAATTACAATAATAATAATAATAGTATTATGGAATAAATTACAATTATAAAAATATTATAATAATAATAATAATAATAATAATAATAATAATAATAATAATAATAGTGTGCGTAAACTCGAAATGCAAAAGGATTAAAAAATTATAGAAATAACCAAAGCTAGAGGAACATGCAAGTTTTAAACCTTGAACCTCCAACTTGAAATACAATAAACACATGTTTCTACCATTTATTCATGAAGCCTTTTCAATTTAATTGAAAACTTTTTAATTTTTATTTCTAAACTAGCTAGGTAAAAATGAAATATTGGGCCTCTAAAATTTGGGGCCCTGTGCGGTAGCCCAACTTGCACAGTCCAAAATTCGGCACTGTTAATGTGAAACAGAAAGTTACTTGACGTGCAAGGAAAGAATCTCCGTTGAATTTGCTTTTAACCGCCTCTAGAGCGCGCACTCGGTCGGGGACACACCGACTGCCTAGTCTAGTCGCCCAACCAAGTCGACTGGTGAACCGCCTGGGTTCCATGCGATCGTCAGATCAGTAAGGGGCCATTTCCCTCGAATTGGTAAGTGCCTTCGGCGCCTCTTTCTGACTGCCTACATCGTTCCTAGCTGAGTGCCCATCTAGGGAGTATCTATTATATATTTGTGGGGTCTGCTTCCAATTGGGTCGGGTCAACGTGAATTCGAGTTCTTCAAAGTGAGATAATGAAATTAATATATTGTACACTCAAAACGGATAATGAGATAATGAAAATTTGATTCTCAAAATAGACTTATTTGAGACTAGAAAAATAATAGAGAGTCTATTGGTGAGGCACTTGTAGGTGGTGAATAAATCGATTTACCATATATATATATATATAGGGAAGGGTTCAGGTGCGGTAATGGTTTCCCGTGCGGTTGTGCGGTTGGACGCACCTTAAGTACACAAATCACCATACACATTAAGCACACAAACATAGCACATTAAGAACACAAATCGCTCATCTTAAGTACATAAATCACGCACTTTAAACACAGAACAAAGCACATTAAGCACAAAACACACGCACCTAAGATTTTAAAATGGCTCACATTAAGCACAAACTCACGCACATTAAGCACAAAACTCGCGCACATTAAGCACAAATCTCACGCACCTTAAGCACAAAATTCACGCACTTTAAGTTTTACCAACTACGACGATCTCGACGACGACGGCGCGCGCCCATCTTTGCCTGAGCCATGCCCCGCCGCGGCTGCTTCCTCCGGGTCTTGAAGGACTTCGAATTGGTTACCATTCTGCTTGGTTGCCGTCTTACGACCACTGGAGTGACTACTCTAGGGTTGGGATTTGCCTTCAGAGTTCTGTTTCTGTCTCGAATTGGCCGGAGCAATGTGCCTATTCTTGTGATTAACAATCATCCATGCTCCATGTCATTCGATCGGAGTAGGCTGCTTGGGTTGTTCCACATGCATGAAATCAGAAGTCTCCTCCGCACGGGTACTTTCCGAAGTAACGACCACCCTGTAACACCCCCAAAACTAAACATAATTTTAATTTTTAAGCATTCAAACTTAGGAAATAAGATAAAGTCTAACCATCATAATATAAAACTGCGGAAGCTAACATTGGTGTAAGGGGATGTCATGCCACATCTAGGCCATCAATCTAGATGTCCAGGCTAAAACAAAGTTAACTACAAATCCAAAGTTGTCATTATCCAAAATGGCTCACACGCCAGAACATCTAGAACTAGAAAGATAAGCTAGTCTAAACCGGGGGTCCATCTAACGCGCTCTCAGGTCACTAACTGCACCTGAAAACATAAGGTTAGACAACCGTTAGCGATAATGCTAAGCAACCCAACTCCAACGCATTGAAATACATATTCATATACTTTATAGATAAAACCATTTTGAAACTTGGGAATACATAAGTATATCACTAAGCAACACTAGTTTTATAAATCATGAGGAATAGAAACAATACTCGACTCTTCGAGGCATGTACTCGAGAATACCAATCAACACACAAGAATATCAATAGAATCAATCCAACAAGACAATGACAATGGAATAAGGATAACAAGCAAGATAGGGTAATCACGATCATCAACAAAAGGGATAATACTCATTACATTACATAATCAATCACCGACAAGGTTCCAAATCCTCAAAGGACATAGCCAAACCAAGTCATTCACCGCGGAGTCATCGCAATGACTCGACTCATAGTGGATCAGTATGAGGGACCTCAAATTAATAAGTACCGCGGGGTCAAACACCCTAGCATGGATTTCGTTGGGTCATAGACCCGATTGAGATTTTCGCGGGGTCACTAAGACCCGATTATGGTTTCTGCGGGGTCAGAGGACCCGATTCAATAATACCGCGGGGTCAAAGACCCGATTCAATAATTCCGTAAGGACTGAGTCCCGATTCAATAATACCATTATCTTGAATCCCGGTAAGAAAAGTCCCAACTGTCCATCATACCAACTCAATCATCACCACAAGAGTTCAATACACAAGGAATCTAAAGATACAAAGCAAATGTATAAATTCCACAAGAAATGTGTACAACAACGGATAAGCTCAAACAATAGCTCAATCAAAGAATAATCAAGATAAGGTACAATGATGTACAAGCTCACAACAATAGATTCAAGTGGAAGGAATTCAAGAAAGAGATACGAAGAAGATAATCCAAAGGCAATATTTCTATAACAAAGGATTCCAACAAGAGATCACAACGAATGGATAAGCACAAGTTATCAATTCAATCAAGAAGCAAGCGAAGGTTATCACAAGGAAATCACATACTAGTACTAAGAAACAACATTACTAGCATGCAAGCCAACCAGGTGATACCAAGGGTTCATATGAATATCATAGACTTCATCAAAATCCAACGAATAACAATATTGGATTATAACCACGATTCAAGACTCATAACTTAATCATAGGGTTCATAATACTCCGCTCTAGACTTACGAAACATCAATAAATACACGCAAATACTCGGGGATACAACAAAACAGAAGCCAACAACATCGGTACTAGTGGGTGGTTCCAGCGGATGGAAAAGGTCCCGCCAAAATTCCACACCGTACCAGCGGGTGGTTCCGGCGAGTCCTTAACCACCCGCCAAACCCCTGCTGAAAACACAATGCACCGGCGGGTGCTTTAGGCGGGTACACTGATGCCCGCCCGAAGTACCTGCTGGTATGCGGTCCTGAAGCAAAAAGGATTTCGGGGGAAAAATGCCAAGAATGTGAAATCCAACTCCAAACTCATCAATACTCACATCCACAACAAATAGGACTTGAATAGAAGAAATAGCTCATCAAATAGCATCACATAACCCTAAATACAAGATCTACAATAGCTAATCACAAGAATATGCATCACACCACACATGATCATCAAGAAATACATTTATGCAAGGAAAATAGGTTTTGTTGGACATGGGGTTACCTTCTTAGCTTAGCAAACCTTCCGAACCCTCCAAGATCACTCTTGCAAGTCCTCGTCAATGTTATCTTCATCATAAACCCAAACCCAACACACAAAGGAAAATACTTAGATGATAGAGATGTAAAACCATGAAATAAGACTATAAACACCTAATACTTACCCTTCCTATGCTTGGTGATAGAGAAAGGTGAAATCTTGTTAGTCTTCTTGGTTGGGGAAATGAAGAATATTTTTGTTGGGTGGAAGGAGGGGAAATGGTGTGTGA